ACAGCAACCTCTAACTCTTGGGCTCAAGCAATTCTCTCGTCTCAGCCTCCCACCACAACGCCTGGCTATTTTTAGAGGCAGGGTCTCACTCTTGCTCAGGCTGGTCTCGAACCTGTGAGCTCAGGGCAATCCACCTGCCTTGGCCTCCCAGAGTGCTTAGGATTACAGGCCTGAGCCACCATGCCCAGCCTCAGACCAGAGCTGTCTTACCTTTCTAGAACATTTCTCACCTGGGCTGCCTGTTCAGAAGCCTAAATTCTCTCCCTAGTGCCCTGATAAGTTATTCCATCCTTCTATTGCTCAACGAGATGATGGCCTCTGGGGCAGGGACCATGACACAAGTGATTATCCTTCCAACCCCAGAGACAGTACTGAGCTCCTAGCAGGCATCCATGCAGCACTGCTCGCTTCCTTGGGTCTGTGTGTAGCAATACAAATGTGTGTGTTTGTGTGTGGCAGTGCAAGTGTGTGTGCCTTGGAGTGCGTTGGAGGGAGCAGACTGAGGGTTTGTGCTCACAGCCCTCTCGAAATTTGCTCCATCTGGGATATAAAATTCAGTGTCTTCCTGAGCCGTTCCTTTTTCTGCCATCCCTTCCATATGGGGCATCTCTGTCCCCTATTCCCCTTAGGGTGAGGGACCCATCATCCTCTGCCAATTCCACTAGGCCACTGGGGGCCATGGGCAAGGAAAGGACAAGATACAGAGGTGCAGGGCAGACAAGTGGGAGGCACTGGGCATCCAGCCCCTTACTGGTTCCTGCAAAGATGACAGGAGTGGCTACTCCACGCCTCTTGCCAGGCCCAGCTCCAGGGCGGGAGGTGTTGCCGTGGCTGCGGAAGAGGCGGCCGTTTCGGAAGATGAGCAGTTGCAGGGTGCAGTCTGGGGGAACCGGGGGGGCCAGGGCAGCCGGAAGGGATGAGAACAGGCTTGGGGGCAGCTGGATGGAGGCCAGGGCCACGCTGTTCTGGGGGGACATAGGAGCTCCTCAGAGACACTGAGATCCCTGAGGGCTCTGCTGCCTTCCAGCCCCCTCTTCCTGCCCCCTCTCCCACCCCACCCCACCCCCATGGCCAGGCCCCTGCAC